CTGGCCTTTCTTTGCATTGTCTCTCATTTTTCTAATTGTCAGGAATGCTGACCTCAGCTCACTCGCTCCTGTGCCAACTCTCCTTCTCACTTAATTTAATCATCACGCTATTATTTCACTCTTCCTCCCTCATACCCTTCAGCTTCTTCACCTCCCCTCCACGCAGTCCCCCCAACCTACACGTCGGCCGCTGACAAAATGAAAAGTGAAACGAGGAGCCAACTGCTGACTCATGCTTTAAAGAAAATTATGTCTTTGTGACAAGACTTTGGGGGGGAATATTAGATTAGAATATTGTACATTCAGTAGCTTTTTAGATGCAAAATAAAAGCCTTTGAAGATATCAGTTTAATTATCAGTTTAAAAAAAGTTGCTGAGTCAGGCTTGGGCGAAAACTATTCCATCATGATAACAAATTGGATTATTTCTCCATATTTCCTTATCAGGAAAAGAAAACTGTTGATAAGTGGAAAATTACAAATGATAAGGATACAGCTCTGAGTGGAGCTCTGTGGGGAATTATTTAACTGACGTCTTTGCAGAACAAGAAATGAGATTAGACCCACATTTTTCCACTGACAATGTAACAAAAGTGGGTTGTGATAATATGCAAGTGAAGATTATGAGTAGAGTGAAAAACAGAGAAATAAATCTCAGTTAACAGCTTAATAGTTAATTAAACTGACCTTGTAAGGATAGAAAATCTTAACCCTGAATATTTCTAACCTAAACCCACCACATCCTGATATTTTTGGGGGGCATTTTAATATTTTAAAGTCTTGCACTGACTGAGGATGTGCAAGCATAGTTACTCATAAACTGTTTTTACCACTTTGGGGTCTGCAAATAACATTTTAATTTAGTTTGCATTATAATTATAAAAAAGAGATACTATATTAAAAATATTTGATATTACAGATCAAAACAGAAACTTTTTCCACTCATACATTCTTGACTTGTCAGTGTAAACATCTTACTTTGACATTTGATGGTATCTTTAATAATTTTTCTATTATTCTCACAATTTCTTTCTATAGGAAACTCAAATGCAAGTCTTTTTTTTTTCTCTCCAGCTGTCTATAAAATTGAAAAAAAAAAAATAAAAAAAAAATAAAACTTGGAAGCAGACAAATGGGAGAGAAGAGAGTGAAGAGAGCTGAGGTTATCGTGATCTGATGCGTGACAATGGAGGTTAAAGACCAACGTGCACATTCAAGGCTACAGATTTTCTTTAAAGCGTGCAGCTGTGTTTCTGTGTTGGTACACATTTCAGAAATAAATGTATTCTTTTACAATTACTGTTTAGTTTTTAAGTCCACAACTTCTCCTCCTCCACCATAACCCTCAGCACTGGCTCCCCTCAGGGCTGTGTGTTGAGCTCCCTCCTGTTCACTCTGCTTACATATGACTGTGTTCCTACCCATCCAGGATGTTACATTGTAAAGTTTGCAGACGATACAGCGGTGGTTGGATGGATGAAGCACAAACAATGACGAGTCCAGCTACAGGCAGGAGGTGGAACACCTGGAGAGGTGGTGAAGAAAGAACATCCTTCACATCAGTGTGAAGAAGATGAAGGAGATGGTCATGGATTTCAGAAGGAGCAAACACACCTACCCCCCACACCGAATATAGGAGGATCTGCTGTGGAAGTGGTCTCCAGCTACAAGTACTGGGTGTGCACCTGAATGACAACCTCAGCTGGGGCAACAACACTACCAGCCTGATCAAGAAAGCTCATCAGAGACTCTACTTCCTCAGGCGTCTGAGGCGAGCTGGTCTGGGATGTTCAGTCCTCACCTCCTTCTACAGGTGTGCAGTGGAGAACATCTTGTGTGCCAGGATCAACGTGTGGCATGGAAGCTGCACAGCTACAGAAAGAAAAGCTTTGCAGAGAGTGGTGAAGGCTGCACAGAAGACTGTTGGAGTCAGCCTCCCCACCATCACAGACATCTACACCTCCAGATGCAGGAAGAGGGCCACCTGCATCATGAAGGACCCCACTCACCCAGCACACACTTTTTGCCCCGCTCCACTCAGGAAGGAGGTTGAGGAGCATCAAGTATAGAACCATTAGACTGAGGGACAGCTTCTACCCTGAGGCTGTTAGACTCTTGAATATCTAACCAGGATAATCACTTTAATGCCACTTTAATTGGTGATATGTGACTTATCTGCGCTGCTGATTATCCATGCTACTGATCTCTTGCCTTTATGCTGCTGTATACCCATTTGCGCACAACAAACACATGTTCAGGCTGTTGTTTAATATGCCATACTATTTTACAATATTAGTGTTTAGCATATACAAACCGGATTCCAAAAAAATTGGGACACTAAACAAATTGTGAATAAAAACTGAATGCCAGAATGACAGAGGAGACCAGTTTTTCAAGTTTAGAAATAGGAATGTGCTCCCATTCATGTCTAATACAGGCCTCTAACTGTCCAATCGTCTTGGGCCTTCTTTGTTGCACCTTCCTCTTTATGATGCGCCAAATGTTCTCTATAGGTGAAAGATCTGGACTGCAGGCTGGCCATTTCAGTATCCGGATCCTTCTCCTACGTAGCCATGATGTTGTGATTGCTACAGAATGTGGTCTGGCATTATCGTGTCGAAAAATGCAGGGTCTTCCCTGAAAGAGATGACGTCTAGATGGGAGCATATGTTGTTCTAGAACCTGAACATAGTTCTCTGCATTAATGGTGCCTTTCCAGACATGCAAGCTGCCCATGCCACAAGCGCTCATGCAACCCCATACCATCAGTGATGCAGGCTTCTGAATGGAGCGTTGATAACAACTTGGGCTATCCTTGTCCTCTCTGGTCCGGATGACATGGCGTCCCAGTGTTCCATAAAGAACTTCAAATCTTGACTCAACTGACCACAGAACAGTCTTCCATTTTGTCACACTCTATTTTAAATGACCCCTGGCCCAGTGCAAACGTCTGAGCTTGTGGAGCTTGCTTAGAAATAGCTTCCTCTTTGCACTGTAGAGTTTCAGTTGGCAACGGCGGATGACACGGTGGATTGTGTTCACTGACAATGCTTTCTGGAAGTATTCCTGAGCCCATTCTGTTATTTCCTTGACAGTGGCATTCCTGTTTGAGGAGCAGTGACATTTAAGGGCCCGGAGATCACGAGCATCCAGTAGAGTTTTACGGCCTGGACCCTTACGCACAGCGATTGTTCCAGATTCTCTGAATCTTTTGATGATGTTATGCACGGTTGATGATGATAACTTAAAAGTATTTGCTATTTTACGCTGGGTAACACCATTCTGGTATTGCTGCACTATCTTTCTGCGCAACAATGGTGGAATTGGTGATCCTCTTACCATCTTGGCTTCTGAGAGACACTGACACTCTGAGAAGCTCTTTTTATACCCAATCATGTTGTCAAGTGACCTAATTAGTGTTAAATGGTCTTCCAGCTGTTCGTTATATGCTCAATTTCCTTTTTCCAGCCACTTATTGCTACTTGTCCCAACTTTTTTGGGATTTGTTGACACTGTGAAATTTTGAATCAATCAACATATTTTTCCCTTAAAATGTTACATTTACTCAGATTAAACTTTTGATCTTTCATCTATGTTATATTACGAATAAAATATTGACATTTGCCATCTCCACATCATTGCATTCAGTTTTTATTCACAATTTGTTTAGTGTCCCAACTTTTTTGGAATCCGGTTTGTATCTTAGAGCCTTATATCCTGTTTCTTTTATACTTTATATTTTTGCTATTTTTGGGTATAACTGGGACCTTGAGAACACAATTTCGTTCCACCTCATGTACGACATGTGATGCGAATGACAATAAAGAACCTTGAACCTTGATTATATGTTACTTTTAGGAAGAAAATACAAGGAAAGCCTCAGAAAAAGAAAAAAAAACACCTACCTGCTTTTCAAACATCTGGAGTTTACACTGCAATCAGACATTATATAAGAAATAATTTGATAACAAATAAAAAATGATGCATGTGCAGAGCTATTTAGAAAGGAAGAGTGAAACCCTTTACATCATGAATCCACAAGCACACACTGGCAGTCGCAGACAGTGGAGCGTCTGTGCCATCAGTGACCACCTCAGAGACACTGAGGTGTCAGAAAGACTTCAAACACGGCGTAGAAAGATGAGTTGGTCACGAGGAAGGAAGTGAGGCTTGTTTTAACAACTTAACTGGACAACTGCTCTTTAAAGCCTTCGGCTTCTTACTCCATTACCTCAAACAGATAATCATTTTTTATTTTTCCTGTACAAAACCTCAGCGGAAATTTCGTCCATTATGTAAACTTTTAAAAAATAAGACTGTTTGAGTTAATAGTGCATCAAGTTCATACACAGACCAACGTCTAGCTACGTTTGGACAGATGAGCGAGAGAGCACAGAGAGGACAAGAAGAAAGTAGAAACCAAACTCCCCGAAGGCTTATTTCACCGAGCGATGGTTACTTCACTAGACCCCAGAGAACTCTGAATGTGAAAAGACTCCTGTGTGGAACCACAGAGGCATTTGGTCATGTTTATATCCTTGTTTTTGGCCAGGCTGAGTGTGCACATAAAGATGTGTGTGTGTCCATGAACTCTGGTGTGTTTTCTAGGAAGGTGGTGTGTTTGTGTGTTTGGAGAGAATATTATCATCAGTCTAAATTTATACACGAGCGCTGCCTGCAAAGACGCGATGGAGACCAAATCTGTGTGTGTGTGGTGAAATGTAGGAGTGGCAGGTTAATCCGAAATTTACTCTTTGTGGTTGGAGGGCTTGTGGTCACATCTGGACTGGGTTTCTCTCCGCCTTCCTTGTTTTCTTTGCTCCCCTCATCACTGCCACCTCACCTGAGCTCCCCTGTTTTTATTTACTCCTTTCCAAATTCGGCCGCCACATTCCTCGGGTAAAACTCGATCTTTACTTTTGTCACTCATCGTCTCTACTCCTTTTTGCTTATTTAAACACCTGATTAAAAAGCTCTGCAGTCAGTGTTGGAGGGGTTTACCTGCTGTTTGAGCTGCTGAACCAGACTGTCCTTCTCTCTCTTCAGAGCTGCCACCTCTTCTTGGGTTTTCTTCTTTTTGGACGAGGAGAGCTCTAATAGGGCGATGTTGGCATCTTTCTCACTTATAGCAGCCAGCAGTGCCTCTTGCCTACACAGAAAACAATTGTACATGTTTAAAATCCATTCGTTCATCCAAAAATACTGCCATACTGACGTTTAATGAATTTGCTAAATCCAGGAAGCTGATAAAGGTCCCTGAATGATATGTATGATGAAAGCAAGTAGGGATGTACAAGTTGGAAAATTAATATAAAAAAGTATTTTACTCCTTAATCAAAGTGACTCGAGCCCTCAGCTTTAAAATTGATGCCTCAGAGGCCATTTTGATACGAGGACAGCAAAAAAAGATTACCTGTACATAGTATTTTACAATGTTTTGCACAATTAAAACAAAATTCAAGTCATCTTTGGTAATAATAAAAAAAAATGGTTACCTTACAATCTACATAAAAAAAAAAACAGGTCAACGAACAGGAGAAAAAAAAACATTTTTATTATATTTTTGTGTCTTCTCAGCTCTTTAAAACAAAAAAAAAAAAGCTAAATATCAAATACATTTGTTTATAAAAATATAAAACGTTCACTCTGTGCAGTTATTGCAAAAACACAAATGCAACATAGAAGAATTTAGTTCATCTGGAAGTTGACGTGACAAAAAGTTCTTTAAAAACTTTTACTTTCCAAGATAAATTAAATCAAACAAAAAATCCCAAACAATTATGACAAGGAAGGTTGTCTTAAAATCACTGTCATCAAGGTTTATGATGCATATAGAAGATCAAAAATATATTGTACACACGTATTACTTACTTTAAAATCATTTAGACAGTTAAAACCAGATGTTTATAAAATGACAACTTTTTTCCCCCCACAGTGACATTATTCTTGTTTTAGATCAGTTAGGATGCCTAAAATTATTCCTATTTGTGAAATGCTTAAATAATGAGAGAGAAAATTAATTTATTTATATTTTGTCAGCTAGATAAGATCGATAGATAGAAAAGGTTGTGTCTTTTTACACAACACGTAAACATCTGGTTTCAGCTGTAATATTTGTGGCGTTCTGATAAGTTTGGAGTATTTCATTCAGATGTTCTGTTATATTTAAGCAAGAAGAAAATAAAAATATATCAAAAGTTTTGAGCACTCTGGTAAAAATGTAGCTGGAGCTTACATCCAACAATAAATTAATAATTAAGTCTAACGGTTTTTCCTTCTTCATCATCTAAGCTGCTTTATATTGCCCTCCAGTCTGTATCTCCAGCCCCCCCCAGCACTCTGGTTCGATGAGGAAGATGACAGATGGATAACATTCCTTGTGGTCAGGAAGCAGCAAGCCACATCCAACTCATCCCACCAGCCTCGGATTGGTTCGAACCGAATCCCAACTCTGATAATTCTCAGGATTGCGCCAATTTTCAGAGGGAATCTAAATCACCAAAGGAATTTTCACTCCTCTGGAGGCCACACACAATCACACGTGCACGTAAATACACGGAAAGATGACAATCTGCTGGAAAAAACATACTTTTATTCTTTTGCATTTTACTTTTGCAGTAACTCTCAGGAAAGATTAGCTTCTGCTGCTCTGTTAATTATACCTGACAAGATGCTTGTGAGAATAAATTTTCAACAATAATATGTGCATTATTTTCCAACGTGCTAACAAACGTTTGACAACGCCGAGTCAAACTGAAACCATTCATCGAATGTGAACTGCATACTTGAATCAGTAGACTGAAGCTCAAAATGTTTGACCTTGAATGGTCATGTTTAGCCCAAAATGCTGCTGTACATCTGGACAAATATTAAAAAGTACAGCCATGCAGGTATACACAGGCTACCTGTTTCTGTACTGATTCTGTTATTTACTTTTAAGGGATTTAAATGGTTTAAAACCCAGTCATTTAACCAAATAATGCTTGAATTATGCAGATGTGCACTGAAATAATCAAAATAGACACCTCTTAGAACAGCCGAAGGCTAAATTAAAGCGCAGAGGGGCTCAGTGTTTTTTTTTTTAGTTGGAAACTCATAAATGCTGGAACAACCTGCTCCTTTATATTTGAGCAGCAAAATTTGTACAAACTTTTAAATCGTATTTGAAAACTAACAATTTTACATTAGCTTTTACTTTGAGTTCAGTTTGAGTCCCATCAGATTTATTTTTTTTTTGGTGATGTTTCCTTGTTTTACCTTGTTGCCTAGTATAAGGCAGACACCTATTATTATCCACCTAACAAAAGGTTTCTTAATTTTATATCTTACTCTTCGTATTTATAATTATAATAACATTGAGCTGAAATTTAGTATGGTCATTGCTGAGAGTGAGTTGTTATATGATTCTAATGCAAATCAAAAATCCAAGATTGTCCTGTTTGAAGCTCTGTCCAACTGCGTTGCCATGGTGATCACACACCTCTTGTCCAGGAGGTATGACAAAGTTCTGTTCAACTGGTAAATGCAGATTACAGCGGTGTCACTTTGTCTGACACAGGGACTGAGAGTTGATTAGCTTTGCAGGATTCTGTTACTTTGATATTGGCTTTTTGGAGACGCAAAGTCTATTTTTCCAGGAAGGGAGTAGATTAGAAAAGAGGGGGTCGAAGAGTTTTAGTTACAGTGTCTCTGGGGACAGGATGTGGACTTCTCTGAGGAACGTAGAACACTACATTTGCCTTAGCTAAAAGGTAAAAAAATATGATAACTTGGCCATTTTTAGAGCTATCCAGCTGAAATTTGGTGTCTTGGTACCGGACAGCAATGAACATTAAATACTCAATTCAAATCTAAAAATTCAAGATGGCCACCAAAGCTAAATTTAATTAGCTCCAACTCATCTATTTTTATACATATAGAGCTGAAATTTGCGGTGGTTATAGCCGAGAATGTTCCCCATCACATACCGAATCCAAATCAAAAATCCAAGATGGCCACCTTAGCTAAATGGAAAAAATGACTATAACTCATTTATTTATTTGCAGTATTGAGCCGAAATTTGGTATAGTAGTAGCTGAGATGGAACCCAATACCAGTACTGTCAAATCAAGAATTTAAATTGGCAGCAGTCCACGTCAAAGTTTCTCCAGGAACTTTCTAGTTATATCTAATTTATTGTGCTTGTTTGTACTGTACCTACATAGAAAAATGTAAATCTTTGTTTTCTCCATTCTGTTTACTTTTTGAAATATAACTCCCAGAAAGGTTTATCTTCTGTAACTATGGGAATCATAACTTAAAAGATGTTTGTGATAAGAGCTTTTTCCAACAATATGTGCACATTTTACAAATTAGATCAGATCATTTTGGATACAAATCAGAACTGAACCATTCAAACAATGTGAAAGTGCATGAACTGGACTATATTAAAGAAGTTGGGTCACAAAGCTGTAAGGACCAGGCAGCTCTAATAAATCAAGGTAGTTTCTGTATGATTAGCAGTCTGCTTTGGTCAGAACTGACCAAAAAGGGATCTAATACAAGACGCAAGCTGATGACCGAGCTCGATAATCGAGGACACCTTTAAAACCCCTTCGGTGCCACACAAAGAACCAACGTGTAGCAGAAGCGGTCAGAATGTTCAGAATGTTTATTAAACCCAAACTAAATCATCCAAGAAATCCATCAAGACAAGGAAACATTTAACATTTCCACAGGCCACAGTTACACTCCTCTCCATGTGCGTGTCACAAACACAGATACGGCAGCGCAATGAGGAATGCAGGGATGAGACCATCTAAGTGGAGACAGACTGAGCGTTTGGACTGTGTGAAGATCCACAAATTCTTTGGTCAACCTCACTGACCAAGCTGTCAGTGGGCAAATGTCCTGACATGCATCTGAACAGCAGGAGTCTTTCCAGGAACAAGAACATCGGGAAGCTGAGAGGTCAGGTCCCCGATGGTTAAACTCCTCAGCGTCTATCAGATGTTTTAATTTGGAGGTAAATACCGAGATGTTCAGACTGATTCATTGTCATAACTTGAAACGAAATTTAACAAAACTCTAAATTTTAGAGGAAACAACGTGACAAAAACAGACAAAACTGTTTCTTCGACATTTCTATGTAACTTTCTTCAGCTAAATTTTTCAGTAAAATTGCCACACCACATTCAATTTTACATTAAGCTACTTAAACTTATAGAGTATGCATTTGGAAAAAAATGTTTTTTTGAATATTTTGTTCATTTTTACTCCCTACTTATTCAAACTTTGATCAACAAAAAGGCTAAACCAACTTTTTGTTTTTTTTCAAAATTTTCAAAAACTGCACAGAAACCATATTAGGGAAGGAAAAAAAATAGAAATAGGTATAATTTGAAAATATTTAATATTATTCTGGTAATTTAGTTGAAATCATCAAAAAGTCATATTGATAATAACTGAAAATAGACTATAAAAGCTAAAAAACACTGACTAATTAAGAAAAAGTTTTTTAAATGAAGAATTATTAAAACAAAACAAAAAAGCATGCAATTTGATGGAAAGCTGCAGGATAGCAGTTTAAAACAATTTTTGCAGTTTTCTACAAGCTCATACTTAGTAGAAGTGTCTTTCACATTTTGGATATAAGACATTACAATCTCTAGGCCTTGATTAGTAAAAAACAAAACATTTAAACTCATGTTTTGCAGCCCTTTCTTTTCTCATTCGGTTTTCCTTTCTTTACAGACTCAGGTACACAGACTCCCGTGCAGAGAAGCCAACAGGACATTCATTACTCCTATAAAAGCTAACAGCGCGTCCAGTTTTATATCGTATTTGAGAGTTACCTGCCAGCATGCGGCACTTATAAATTGCCGGTGATAAAAATTTATTTATTCCAGATGCACTTGTCTCGTTCTGGGCTTCTCCCCTCATCTCTGTCAGACGCACACACAAACACGTACTTAGAGCACTCGACTTGGCCTTCTCAGCTTGCAAAGCTAAACACGTGCTTCAGACAAGTGCTGGCTGTGGCTACCGCTGCAGCAAGGAGCCGTTTGAAGAGCAGCGATCATGTGCTAAGGCTTTAGATGGTTCTACTGTCAGACGGCACTTAAAATACAGTATGAACTCGGCTCTGCTGGCATTGTAACGCAAGTCATC